ATTCTACGCCAATGCAGATAAACTAATCAACGAAAACTGGAAAGCGGCGGTATTATATTTTGACCAATTCCTCGCATCTTGGAAGGTTGACTATGTACGTGGTGCTGGCGTGCGGAACCACAAAATCATTGAAAACTTCGACATACGGAAACTTTACAGTATAAAAATCAAAAGCCTGTGTCCAAACGGTGAAATAAAGCCATACAGCGAAATATACGCATACATCGAACACTTTAACATTTTGTAAATAAGATATAAACTCACATTTACATTAAACCAGTGTATAACAAAGCTCCCACCATATAAACTGAAAACAGTATAATACTACATTTGTTATATTGTAATTTACATGTAACTAAACACCGTCTCTTTAAAGCGAAACATTTTCTACAGTTTTATCTTGACTGTCAAAATCGAATTGCGCTGCATCAAACTGTTTTTGCGCCTCTTCCAAGGCTTCCATAGCTTGTTCCATAGCTTGCTCGGCCGCTTTTCTATAGCCCGACCGCATTTTTTCTTTCTCCTCTAGACCCTGCACCCACGCATCTTCAAACCACTTATTGTCTTCAGTAAAACAAAATTCTTCGTCCTCGTCATCAAACCAAGCGTCATCTTCATTATAAAGTAGGGGACAACTTTCGCCCTCGAACAAAACCTTCAAAACCTTCGCGCATTGGGTTGGTTTACCTTCGACACACAACAAAATTCCTTTTAAGCACAAATTTCCTAAAATTTCCACAAATTTCCTTTACTTCAAAGATAAACTGAATAATGTGGAAACACAATTCATATATTATACTTTTTTCACTCACACCACACTTGTATGTAATATACAAATAGGTTATAAAATCGTCCAAAATAGCATCTTCCCCGCTTGTTCCCAAACGTTCAGCCGTAAACAAAAAATGTGAAATATCAAGTTGTTTTTTTTTTAGTGGTTCAATCATTTCATCCCAATATTTCCAAGACGATAATTCACTACCCAATCTTTCTTGAAATAATAAAAAAGCATCGGAACCGCGTAAAATACTCAAATCTTTCAACCGTTTTGCCTCGAAAGCATCTTCTTGCGCCCAATTAATTTCATCCATTCCGGTACAAAAGTAAACTTACACTGACCCACTATTAAATGGACACTATTGTAATATAAGATGGTGTTTACCCACGGGAAATACGTCACTGTCCGGCGTGACGTCGCTTCCGTTCTCACCCATAAAGTCGCACGCCAATTTCAAACACGCTCATTGCGGTCGACCAGGGCTTTGGCGTCGCATCTCGGCCGCGCAACGCAACACACACGAGCGCACGTTGCTCGACCACGCCCAGGACCACACCCAAAAAAAAGTCCCCCCGTCCGGGGACACTTTTTGCGAACAATTTTGCGGCCTCACCCGACTCTTTTACAATACTATCTTATAGTAAAATGAAAAAATTCCCACCCACCCCCAAAAAAAGTGATTCTTTTCTGGGTATACTACTTCATGAAGGTAGTCTGAGTTCTGAATCTCTTTTAATTTAGGAAATAATTTTCCACTCCACTGCACATCCAGTGAAAATAGCAGTAAATGGAAGGCAGACATTGACTCTTCCACTGGTCATCTTCCTCAACGAAACCAGTGGGAACAGGTCAAAGAAATGGAACAAACTGGAAACATATTCCTTTTTTCTTGCAAGTCTGCCTAGAGAAGAAGTTACCAAATTTAGTAACATAAACTTTGTTTTGTGTTTCAAATTTGTTAGACTCTGAAACTCTGGGCAAAGTTATTGCAGAAGATCTGTTAGGTAGATCTGTTATATCTGAAGATAGTTTTAGTCTATAGTATACATAGAAACGTTTTGACCTAATTAATAGGTTTAAATTCTTAAAATGCTGTGATATACAGCCAAACTAAGTTTGATACATGTTCTCCCTTTAGAACTTGAGACTGGAATGGTAATGTACGACTCCTTTACTCAAGCAGAGATTTTTGTCCAGTGCCCAATCCTCTGTGTCTTGTGTGACAATCCAAAGGCATCAGAAATTTGCCATCATCTTGGCAGTACAGCACAGCATTTCTGTAGGAATTGTGATGTAAGTTTTGACTCTGCATTTTGCTATTTTTAGGATGTTTTGAATTCAATTAAATAGCACCTGTTGCAATCACCATCTATATGCTCCAGGAATCTAAGTTGGCAGTTAACTCTTATACTAATTATTTTTAATTGTACAGGCAACATCTGGAAATGCCTTTCAACTGGGTCAACCAAGGACAGACATAGCTGTAAAAAGCACTGGGGCACGGATAAATAATTGCAGGTACTAGCTATGGTACATTAAATTATACAAATTAAATGTACATCTACTTACTACTTCAATTCGAATTTCTGGTTTTCAATGTCTGGCCAAAACCAAGGTAATCACTTTTGTCTAAACATTAATGGACAATATAATGTTAATCTGATGCAACATGGAATAATTTGCAGTGACAATTTGGCATTGCTTACAGCTAAAATTATTTGTGTCATATTCGTAGATCTGAAAGGGCAAAATAATGCTACGAAGAGATACTGGTGTCTCGGAACGTGGGGGGCAGTTTGATATACTGAAGACATTCGAGGCATGCAAGTAAGATTGTTCTTTCAGAAATTTTATTATTGGATCAGTTCCATGTGGGGCTTCTACAATACCAGCAAATATCCTGGTACCTTTAAAGGCCATTAATGGGGGTAAGAGTGCAATTTAGGACATACATTATCAAGTTTATGGTAATGTATTTCGCACAGAGATAATGAAATTACACTTACCATGAAATTAACTGAACTGCGGAAATTATTGCAGGCAGACACCAAGTGAGATTCTCCATACAATACTGCTTGGCTGTGAAAAATACCTTTTGGCCAAGACCATGAAAATCCTTTCACCTGCAAATAAAAAGAAAGTCTCTCCGAGAATCGAGTAGTTCGATTTTGCACCATTTCCGTAAAAACTTGTGAGCAACATCCCAAAGACGTATGGCTCCTTGGTTGGCCGTGATATAAAAGTGTGGGCATAAGTTGCTGTATTTGTCCTGGTTGACATTGTATCGAGTGATGAATTGGAAGTGTGGGTTCATCTGAGCAATGTGTGACTTTACCTAAGATGTTAATCAGTGGCATTACGACTAGCATCAGTTAACTTTATAACAATGTACTGATATTTAATCTATATAATTTGCAGGTATTTTCTATCGCATATTGTTCAGAAGTCAACTTAAATGACCGTGAAAAAGTTAACAATGTTCGAGCAGAGTTGCAAAAAAGCTGCGAGCAGGCGGGCATTGCCCGCGAGGAAGGTTTACCATAGGTGAGGTCAGTGAGGAAGGTTTAGTGGCCAATGGTTGCTAACACCAAAAGAGTAAAACAAATAAATAATGGTTGAATAAGGCAGTTGAGGCTGATAAGTTGTGGTGGCACTATTGTGATATAGTACCTATACCAGATGATGACTATGACATTGGAGAATACTGAGAAGACAAATAACTGAAAATATTCTGTAAAATTAAAATGTGTAAGTGTCAAGCATCAGAGGTGCCTTAGGCCACATAAAATAACTTGCTGGATTCTCATCACCGCCCAACTGTATTTTAAGAGGTGTGTTAAAAATTTTTATATTTTGTTATACAATATAAATGTACCGCCCGACAAAACATTTCAAGACAGTTACGGTATTTTATATTGGGGTTTTAGTGCCATTTTAAACTGCCAATTCAAACAAACAGAAAGTTGAAAGAAATTTCATTGCATTTTACAGGAACTTCGCATTTAGTTCAAGGAGATATGTTGGAAATGACAGAAATGTGTACTGTAATATGTTTATTTTGGTTTATGACACTTTATTCCAGAACTCACAGAAATATTAAATGTTAGGAATTTTTTTATTTGAAATAATTAATGAAGGGAAAGTACAAAACATGCACCCCCAGTCCATGGACCCCTTGTCTGGACCAGGTCCATGGACCCCCTCTATGGACCGGGTCCATGGACCCCCTCCATGGACCGGGTCCATGGACCTGCGATTGCTCAATGGCCCCATCTATGAATGAATGTTGACAGGAATTTTGAATACACCTGAATATAAATAACCCTGTACAAGGAGAAAACAAATTTACTTGCAAGGTCAAAATGTTCTATTAATTTGTTCCAAATAGCACTTATATATCCAGCTAGCTAGTGTGTGCACAGCTCACAAAAATGTATTAATCGAAGCAAATCAAATTGCTGATTATGAACAGTGCCTTTAGACCACTTTCATAAGAGACGAATTGAAACACTTTTTTGTATATTGAACCAAGAAGGCTAATTAAGATGCACAATCAATGAAAGTGGTTTATAATTTCAACACTTTGCTGGCAGTGGTTTCTTTAATTTCATAGGCTGTGATCATTGACCGGTTTTGCAAGTCAGTAACACTATTATTATTCACATGGTGTATTGATTTGTCATTATATATGTCGTTAGCAAGCCTCGCTTTAGTATGAAGAAAACACTGGAGTGTAGATGAGGTTTGCTGCTAAGAACAAAAGTATGCTAATTAAAACCACTAAAATATTTTTAAAAATTGAAAACTCGAATCATGTTTAACAGTAATATTGAAATTTGGAAAAATGCGGCCCATGGAGGGGGCCCATGGACCCGGTCCATGGAGGGGGTCGATGGACCCAGTCCATAGAGGGGGTCCATGGACCCGGTCCAGACAAGGGGTCCATGTTTTGTACTTTCCCATGAATGAATGATGATAATATTTATTCAGGAAACCAACTTCACAAGAAGTGTTTTTCAGATGGTTCCTGCAAAACATTAAAATACAAAGTATAGAAAATATATATAGTGTGCTTGCAGTATTTACATATTGGTATATATGGATATATATGATATACCAGAAAAATTATGAGACTATAGGATACATGATGCTATACATATTTACAAGGATACAAAGAGTTAGTAAGTTATGTTTTAAATAGTTATGAGTATTGTGAAGATAGAAATTTAAGAAGTTCATTCCTAAAGGTTCCTAATTGTTCAATGGATCTAGTATTATAGTTCAAATCGTTGTACTCTTTACAAGCCTGGTAAAGCAGTTTTTGCTTTCCCCAGGTTGTCTTCGGCTTACAGAGGTATATATCATCTCTGCGTCTTGTGTTATATAAATGATTAGTTTTAGGCAGTTTGAGATTAAACTCTGTTAAATTATTTTTTAATTTATATATGGTTAGTATTCGGTGTAGTTTGTGTCGGTGGGCAAAAATGAAATAAACCATCAACCTATTTAATGAAATAAACCATCAATGTTGTAGCAACTAAATATTGTAATAATTATATAAATAATGGCCTTATAAACAAAGTTGAGGAAGAAATTTTAGCATGTGTGATGTGAGTTGGACAAAAAAAGTACAGCTTAATCACTGAGTTGTGTAGCTGTCATACATATTTAATACAGATCAACAGAATATATTGA